TTTCAGTTTGACAGAGCAGTTATTTTAATGCATTTTAAAATTTATTATTGTATTATGAAAAATATCCTAAATTCAAATCATTTTAAAGTGCCACTATAAGATAAATAACTTATGTGCTCCAAAGTTTAGTGTTCTCAGGATTTTATTTCAGTGAAAATAATATAGTGTGGATTTTTTTATTTTAAATTTAAGTTTTGGTGAAATACTTAGAGAATTAACATTTTAATTTGTCAGATAATGAATGGTTCATTTTTGAGGAGAACAAGTTATTTCTGTGGTTATTAGTAGACATGTTCTAGTTTTGTGATATTTTGAGATTTTATGAGAAAGGACTAGAAATTATTATGTCTCACTTTTTTTTTTTTTACATTTTAACAGCTACATCCTCATCTGCAGTTTCTGCACACTCTCCTTCAGTTATTGTGACTGTTGTAGAAGGGAGAGGGCTTGCCAGAGGGGAAGTAGGAATGGCAAGTATTGATTTAAAAAACCCACAAATTATATTATCCCAGTTTGCAGACAACACGACATATGCAAAGGTAAGTGTTTATAGTCCAAGAAAATGGAAAATAGTTGTTCTAGTGTGCAGTATGTGGATTTTTAAGCCAGTGCTTTCCTAATTAGTTCACTTTTTGGTCGAATAAAGGTTATTCACCATTGCTCCACTGTAGATTATTTTAAAGTAAAACAAATTGTTTTGATATCTGATTTTTAATTTTAAGGTATAATTTGCCCTAAAAATATCTTTGGCTATTATTTTAACAGTCTTAAAGTTACTGTACGCACTGTTGTCGAGTTGATGCTAACTCATGGTCACTTTATAGTGTGGAGTAAGACTGCCCCTGCAGATTTCTAAAACTGTAAATCTTTACAGGAGTGGAGTTTTCTACTGAGGAGCAGCTGCTGCAGTCTACTGCGAGTCCTGGTGGCATAGTGGGTTATGCTTTGGGTTGCTTACTTCATGGTCAGCAGTTTGAATTTACCGGCTGCTCTGCAGAAAAAGATGAGGCTTTCTACTCCACAGACAATTACAGCTTTGGAAATCCGCAGGAGCAGTTCTACCCTGCCACTCAATCTCCACCTCACTACCATCAAGTCGATGAGACTCATAGAGACCCTGTAGGACAAGGTAGAACTTCCCTTGGCCTTTTGTGCTTTTCTGAGACTGCAATTCTTTACAGAGTGGAAAGCCCTGTCCATCCTTTTCCCTCAGAGCAGCTGGTGGTTTTCAGACTTCCGACCATTTGATTGCAGCCCAACGTGTAACCACTATGCCACCAGGGTCCCTTACAATGTTAGTTTCTGAAATTTCTATCTTCAAATGAATAATTCCTGGTCTTTCCCCATAGCTAATATATATGATGATTTAACTCCAGACAGTTAAATCTCCAAAGAACTATTAGAATTTTGTTTAATAGCATTAAGGGAAGCTGACATCTTAGATCAGTCTTATTGTAATCTCATTACCTCATGTTTTCACATCTTATCTTGCATTCATTTTATATCATTCATCATTAGTTGGGGGCACTGTCCTCTCATCCTGTGAGTTTGTGTGATCTACCTGGTAGAAATCTATTCTCTTT